AAGCTTTTAGGAACACGTTGGTCATTATCGTGCAGATACACCCAAGATTCGATAGTTTTGCTTTAATTAATTTTTTGAATCGCAGGTAATTGAAGTTTTTATTTTTTTGGACAATAAAGATAGACCACATTCTTTTACTATCGTTAATATGTGATGGCGAAAAGTGAACTAAAAACACCCACATTTGAGAAAACGATCATAAGCAGAAAGAAGATAGGATGTGGGTGCCGTGTAGGTGTGGATCTAGACTAAGAGAAGAATTACACCCACACTCACGATACACAAACACCAAGAACTTTGTAGTTTAACTAGGATCATAGATGCAAATTTTATGAGAAATACTGTTTCAAAGCATCTATTTATTCATATTGAATCACGATCATTTTTGTTTGCATCTTTTCAATCGAATATACATTTGTATCACTAAAAATTGATAGAAGAAAAACTGTTTGTCCTAATATTTAAAAGACAAAATGAAGTTTTTCTTTGACTTTCTTTTATCACAGTATCACCATCAAGTAATGTACTAAACAAAGTTAATGAACCGAGTTTCTATGGAATTATGTTGTCATAGATGATCAGTCTTTGATGATGAAGGGTTTAGCTGTGGATGCAGGATAGAAATGGATAAAGAGAAAACACATATCCATACCCTTGATGAACTTGAGGGTATGAGTGTGGGTGTGGGTGTGGTTCAGGAGAATATTAACACCCACACCCACATCCAATCGCTATTATTATTGTGAACATTATATATTTAATTTGATAAGAAAAATTAAATTATTCCATGAATAATACACTCCTAATATAGTTACCAATCGATAAAAAGGTAATTTATAAGTATAGATTACTATTTATGATATCATTGAACGATTTTAGATTTAATTTATTTAAATGTATGTACATATCTATATTGACTATATAATCAAATTATGAAAAAAAACATTTATTTTTCTTTAGTATTATTTATCTAATAGAAATAGATAAAATTTATGAGACTTTTCGATAACTGAAATTCTTTAAAAACGCAAATATACTAAAATATCATATTTGTATAATTTAAATATATTTTCCAAGTTGAGAACGATTGATTTTTTTCGAACAATTATAACTATATTTTGATTTATCTATTGCATTAATATATACAGAACAGACGAGTTTTAATGACATTGGTAACGAATGAAAAATTCCGAGCTTGAAATAATGAACATCATAAAGATATCACAAATTTAAACTTTAAAAGTTATTATTTCGAAGATTTTTATTCGTTTGAAATCTAACATAAACAAATTACTCTTATTTAATATGAATAAAGGGTAATATTAATTACTTCATATAATATATAACATTACTATTATTTTCCTATTTGTTTTGGTATATACTTTTCTTCTCTTCTTGTTTTCTTTTTTTGCTTATAATTTTAATTGCAGCGCCCTGATGAGTGTTTCAATATTTTAATAAATGACATGCAGTGTGTCGGAAAAATTAACTCTGTATTATTTTTATTTAAGCTAATTTATTTATTTAGTATAAATATATTTGACTTGATCGGTTGCGGAAAAGCCAAAGTTGAGAACCACAGATTCATTTGGAATTTTTTGGAAAATATAAGTTCATCCGTGTTCCATTGATTTACAGTTTAGAATTTCTACACTTCGTTCAAAAATTTGCTTTCATACGACAGTGTAGATTAATATTTTAATTTGATTTTTAATTGTTATCGAATTAAGCTGTCTTAAACCACCTGACGAGTCCCTTAAGCAAGAACGAAACCGATCATGGCGGGTTCTCCACACCCATACCCACCCTAATGCGAACATAGAACATAATGTTCTTCCAAAGATTTTTGTTTGTGAAAATTGATAAAGTACTACGGTAGTATAACTTTTTCTGATTTCGTCAATGAATGAGTAACAATGTAGTAATCAATAGAAAATTGCTGTTCAAAGCGAATCAATTTAGTTTTGGTCAACATTGTTGAAAGGACAGTGATGTACTATAACAGGAAGAGAAGTTGTGATAACAGCTTCACTTAATTAATGTTTATCAGAACAAAAGAGTATGATAATCTTCACACACACAAAAGTGACGCTCGTATTTAAAAAAGATATGCAATAGAAGAAAATAATCATAAGATAAAAGATTCATACAAATAAACAACATCTTAAAAGAAACCGATACGGAAATGAAAATACTTGTATTTGCTTACAAGGATTAAAACAAATTTACTAACATATTTACTTCCTTTTCTTTCATGTTGTACGCCCTTGACGCCCATCACATTTCTTTGATAACTTCTTCTTCTTTATCTCTTTCTCTCTCACGTTGTCTATATTTTCTTTGTCTAACTTTCTCTCTCTCCCACTATATATATTTTCCATCTATTTTCTAATGTAATTCATTTGTCATATTTTCACTCCGCGATCGTTTGGAATTGCTAAATAACGGGAAAATGATTACTGTGGTGTATTTTCTCAACAACAACCATATGCATCTTCAAATCGATATGCGCCGAAATCATCCCAGTCCAAGTAAAAAAAATACGTTATTCTAATCTGTTAATATTCATGTGAAACTTTTCTTTAAGATCTCCCTGATACAAGAAACGGCACCAATTTCGCTATGGGTTCTACTGAAAATTACCTTAGTCATCCAATTAAATAGGAGTCGATGGACATGACTGAAGAAGTTCATTGTCGAAACGAGGATGAAACAAAAAAACTTTGTTTTGAACAATTTTCAATTCATTCCATTCAATTGTCACAAAATTTCTTTTATCTTTCCATGTATTTTTCTTGTTTATATACATATCTGAAATATAATAAATATATTCAACTCTATAACAATACGTCTAATTCGTTATTATTTATATCAGCACGTATTTTCATTGAAGCCAAGCGCTTATTTCTTACATAGATCATTTTATGCTAAAATTTATTGAATAATTATTCTGATAAGACTGAACCTCGATATACTTTTTCGGATATCTAGAAATATTTGAGAAATGTGTATGCTTCACCACAAGCTTCTTTTAATAATTAGTGTTTCCTACTGTTATTTTTTCCATAAAAAGATTTTGAATAGATTGAATGGTCTTGTATATTTTTTGTAATTTGTTTATAATTATTTATTTCAATGTTATTCTTTTTCTGTCATTGAAAATATTCCCATGGAAAGTAACTACCACTCATATTTCTGCCTTTGTCTATCACTTTCTTTTTCTCATATACGTATTGATTGAGAGACAAGTGATCAATCAATATCAATATCTCTCTTCATTTATGACACGAATTTCTATAGGAGAGAAGTAGTAACTTCTCTTATTCCCTCTCCGAAAGAGAGCTATAATAAATACTCATACATTTTCACTGAATCACTCATTTAAATATTCATTTTTTGTGTTGATTAGTCGACGTAAAATACATTATACATACATTCACTTATATACATATCGGTACGTACGCTTACATAGAAGATTTATATACCATGATAAGTTATCAAAACGAGAAAAAAAATATTCTATATATTGAATACTTATATTAATTGTCTATCGGCAAAATAATTTACATACCGATAGTAAAAAACAATGATTAAAAATTAAAACAATCTCTTCCAGATAACATAACGTTTTTTTTATTTTTTCCTGCAACGCACACTGATGATTCCAACTCGAGAGTGTGAGTATGGGTGTGGATGTTAATAATCTCCTGAACCTCACCCACACCCTTATTCATGTGTTTTGTTTCTTCTCTCATCTATTCCATTAGTTTGATTGTTTTATACATGATTAAATATATTCTATTTACCGGCATATACCATTATTTCTCTGATCTTCTAACAAATTTTGATGTTTTTTTTTCAATTCCTTACATTTTGTTTTAGATGAATTCATGAAAATTAGACAGTCAAATATAATCTTCTTTCAACCGATTAGATCGACTAAATTTACGTTATCAACGTGAAAATGTTTTGAAAAATAAACATTATCAAGATTTGGTTCATCAACATTATCCGCATTATAAATTATTTGAACCACCTCATAATTATAATTTAATATTTATACATAAGTAGACGTCAACGGAAATTTTAAATCATATCATTCAGATAGCTTCTGAAACATATAACTTTATTCCTGATACACAACACCAAATAGAACCATATCCATGAGCTAGTAAATCTACACCATTATTAATACAAATACAATTCAATTCTTTTAAATATTCGCCGCTGATTCTTCGTGTTGAAGTTTTATACCTCAAATCTGGTTTTATAGCAAGAACACAAGATTATACTAAAGAACAAAAAATACAACAACTATTCAAACAAATTTTTTCACCAAATAAATATATATTTGCTTGGGGAAATCCAGAAGATAAGTTATTATCATTTCATCAATATCAGTTATTCACTGAATAGAACTTGAACCAATTAAATTTAATTGATCTACATGAACGTTTTCAAGATTGGTATAAATTGACATTTCCATGTTCATTAGTTCATCGAATGAGATCAAATGATCAACCATATTCATTACAAACAGCTCTTTTTCTTGTTTTTGATGAGTAGCTTAATACGCAAATGCAATATGCTTTATGGAATTGTGGCATTGATATTAATTTAAAAACGTACCATTGTAAATTTTCGTCAAATTCAAACAATAATTATTATCAATTTTTTCGTGAAGAAATTCAATATCGTCAAGAAATGCAAATTTATGCCATTTGTAATTATTTTGCAATTACAAAATTAATGAATTTGATATTACAGCAATATCCATTAAGTGAGAAGAAAACTTTTTCATCATCTCAAATCATTCATTATAAACGAAAGAAAAGACCTCAATCATTGATATAAATAGTAATATACATTCGTCTGTCTTTTTTTCTTTGCCTAACAAAGTATGTGAATATATATATATGTATATGTGATTTGAATTTTTACTTACTATTCTAGATTCCAATACATATTACACTAGTTACGCTAGACATCTCAATATGGCAATGAAATCGGCTTATCGAAAATTGATTGCTCTTAGCCAAATTCTTCAACGTGTATCTGATGATACAATAGATGATGAAACTCCAATGGTTACTCATATGGCTGAAGCTAAGGCAGCGATAGTAATAAAAATTACTTTGAACGTTTTCTTTTTATCACTAATTTCTTTTTAATTTTGTTTTCTAGAAAAGTAATGAAGAAGAATTACAGCGGTTTATTATTCGTGAAACATTTCAATTGTTGGTTTCGGTCGATCGTGTTGCAAAATAAAAACCAGCATTGTATCCTTGTAAAAGAATGAAGATATAACTTTTAAAATGTACTTATAATAGAATTTTGTCGTTGTTGTTGTTGTTATTGTTGTTTATTTTTCATCTTATTATATCAATATTCTTGTAATTATGATTCTTTGTTGATATGACATATATTATTCGTCTTATATTGTAAACATTCTTGCGATGACAATATTGAATTTCTTAGTCAGCTACGCAACAAAAAATATTATTTATGTGTGGACTCATCCATGTAGAGAATATAAATTTATTATAAGATCAAGAAATGAAACTTTCGCAGATGTTACATTTTATTAATGCACACAGTTAAATCAATGTATTCAAACATATTTGTCTGTTTAACACGATTCAACTAGTTCATTCGCATCACCAAGATTCTTCTATATATCAAATAATCAATAAAATAAATGTTGATCTCTATAGTCTTTTGTTCTTATTCTAGATTATCATTTACAACAGGTTTTATCAAAAAACTGTCAAGTACACTCCTCAAAACTGCTTTTATCAAAAAAGACAAATGTCAAGAGAAGATGAGCAACATGAACAGCAACGACAGATACTACGTATTATGCAACAATTGCAGCAAGAAGATACATCACCAGTACTATCGGTAGCATCTGTAGCAACACCAACATTTACAAGGGCAACAATTAGTACGGCAAATTGTTCCAGAATCTGACGATGAGCTTCTACTTATACTCATACAAAGGCAACAACAAGGACAATACACTCACGCAATGCCCTCTCAGCACCAACACCAATACCAACAACAACAGCTAGTTGAAAATTATATATCACTAACATGAAAGGAGCACAATAAAGACCGATGTGCATATTTGCCTACATTTCCTTATTTGAAATCATGCAAATCAAATGAAATTCCTCTATTATTAGCTAATGCGCCAACAAGTATATTGAATGCAAATGATTTAAATCGTCGATACGCTACTTGTTGTGATGGTCCATTCATTCCAAGAATTCTAAGTGATCAAATGGATTCATATATGTATGATTGTTTTAAACGAGATTTTATGCATTTAATTAAACGGTTAAGAAGGGGTGAGTGTTGTTGGGTGTGAGTGTCATTTCCCTCTTAATTCACAACCACACTCACACCCACACTAGAGAGCTGCGGGCCCATGCTTTTTTGGACCCGGACCCGGACCCGGTCGGGTCTAGACCTGGCCTTTTTTTACCAATATTTGGCACCCTCTGTGTACATGAACGGATAAAGGTACAAGATTTTAGCTCTTCATTGGCCACTTTAGAAGTAAAGTGAATGTACAATTATTTCTTGTTGTTCACTTTTTCATTATTAAATAGTCATTAAATTGAAACTTTTCGATTATTAAAAAGCAAACTATGTTAACGAAAAAAGAAATTGAACAATTAATTGATAAAAAAAATTCGTCATTGAAAATTGTCAAACCAACAGTAACACCAAAATCTTCAGCTGCATGGAATAGTTTTAGTCATATTTACGTTAACAATATCAAACAGGAATATGTTATTTGCAATCAATGTGAGGAATTACTTATTTATAAACCATCTTCTGGTACTAATTCTTTATCTAAACATATTAGTAGCTGTCAAAAGGTCAAAACGACAGCTTCTCATAATCAGACAACTATCAATCAATTTTATGCATCTTCAAAAAATGAACCTGCTATTCCAGATCGAGTAAAGCAGGAAATCAACGTTGCTTGTGTTGAATTTACAGCACTTGATTCTCGATCATTTAAAACAATTCATGGAATAGGCTTCAAAAATCTTGCACAAAAAATTTTCGATGCCGGTAAATATTTACCTATATCTAAGGATATTAATGTTGAAAAACTACTTCCACATCCAACAACAGTAAGAATGATATTTTTTAATCTATTATAATCACAGCAAGGTAATTTTCTTCACTTTCCTAGATTAGCCGTCAAGTTAATAAATTATATAATCAAAAGCATCAGCAATTAGTTTCAATTTGTGAGAAAATGGTTGGATATACTGTTGTTATTGATTCTTGGAAGGACATCCATACGGGTTCGTTAGAATAATGTTTCATATCTCTAGTAGTATTTCTTTTGTCCTTTAAGGTATTCAATATTGTGGAATTTCGTTACATCACATAAATGATGATTGGAAATTATACTGTTTTGTGTTGGGATGCTATCATTATGACCTTAAATCAAATAGTGCAATTAATACAAGGAAGTTTGTTGAATCAAAACTATCTGACTATAAATTACAGTTAAATGAAAATGTTTACATTGTTTCCGCTAATGAACCAAAGATGCTTTCAACATTCAAATTAAACTGTCAGCGTATCGGTTGTTCGTGCCATTTCATTAACAAACAGCTTGAACATATGTTTACTAAAAAAGAAATTGATGAATCACCTGTACAATATGATCTTGCTCAAGTATTATTTGAACGTGGAAAGAAAATAGTTTCTCATCTAAGAAGGTCTCATAAACAGACCAAGATGTCGAAAAGAGTACAAACGTACTCAGAAACAAGATTTAATGGTGCTTATCATATGTTACAAGTATTTTTGGATATTTTTGATGAATTAGGTCTTGTTCTTGATAGTATAAATTTAAACGAATATTTGTTGTTGGATAAAGAATTTTTGGAACAATTATGTTCATTTATGAAAGTGTTCGATGAGGTAATCGAACAACTTAGTGATGATAAACAGCCAACAATCTATAAAGTTCTTCCGCTTCGTCAACGATTACTTAACGAATGCGAAGTAAAACCGAACGATTGTGACGGTTTAAAAGAAATAAAGGTTTTCTTATGTAAGTTATACCTTTTTATTTTTTAATTTTCAACTATTGTTTTGATATGAATGAACAAGGAGAAAATGATGATAAAGCTTTTATTACACTTACACTACTGACATATAATTAGTTATGTAATCTATTGTTTTATTCTTTTTATTTTATTGCAGCTCGACGTCTTGAAACTGTATGGGTTTTGCAGGACGTTCACTATATTTCATGTTTACTT